ATCCGTGTGTGATACAAAGCTTTAGGAAAATAACAGAGAGGGTCTTACAGTGGATATTTCAAGGCTGAAGTGCCCCGATGGAGATGGGACTTCTGAGAGGCTGCAACAAAGAAAAGGCTGTGCTTTGTTTAAATGCAGAGCAGCTTTCAAGCTCGCTTTGCATGCAGCAACCAGTCAGTCTGAAGGATCAATGCTGCCTGGGAAAGATCAGAGCAATATAAAAGGCTGTTTCCTCCCCATCTGTCAGCTCCTCAGCTGAGGGGCAGGAGCATGAGCTGGCAGCAGGAGCCCTCTCCCCCCAGTTTGTAAAACTTAGAGCTCCCATGTCCAGCAGGGAGGCAAATATCTCTGCAACCTTCCCAGCCCTGCTACGGGCAACAACTGCCCTCCTGGTGTTTCACAGCACCAAGGGATGGAAGAAAGGCTGGACTGACAACCCTTGGCCAGGACCTCCATCTAAACTGAGCTTGTTATGGAGCTTCTCACAGGCTTTCTTCCCTGACTGTGCAAAAATACCTGCTGGCACCCCTGTGGAGCTTATCTGGGAAGGGAAATGGGCTCAGTGCCACTTCAGGAGAACCCAGGTTGGGCTCTGTCTCTCCTAGTTAGTTTTAGCTATCCCTGAGAGCTCTCCAGCAGCACCAGGACAGTTCCTCTCCTGCAGTGGTAAAAAGGGCTCAGAGTGCTGTCCCCGGGCATCAGGTGTTGCTTATGGCCTGGGACAGCATCTTGGGATTCTTCACCACACGTGTATGGCCAGCACCAAGCCTGAGAGCAGCCTGTGCTCCTGCCCTATTCTGCCCCGATCCCTCTGGCCCCAGGGGCACCAAAGCAGTCCTACCGAGGCCACAAGCACCGTGGCAGGCAGGGTTTGCCAGGGCTGCCGGCCTGACACTGGGCATCAGGTGCTGCATACGCTTTTACTGCTGATGGCTAGGATGGGAAATGCAATTCAGACACCTTAATGAAAAGCTAACAAAGTTCGATTTGGAGGGAGGGCTGCTCTTCAGGTAGCCTTGCTTCTCCTTACAGCATGCTGGAAATGATTTTTCTGGGTATATTCCTACACTATGCCACAGTGTGCTGACCTTGAGCTGAGACCATAGGCAAATGCAGAGGAAGAGGGACCAAGCTGTTTATTTTAGATTGTACAAATAAAGACATGCTGATGATTTAATAGCAGGGGCTTCTCAGAGATATTTTGAGTGTCAGGCTCTGGCTGCATGTGTGTAACTAGCATGTTGTGGCCAAGCATTTTCTAGCCCTTCATAATTCCCAAGCCTCACTGTGAATTGGTTTAAGTAGGAAAGCTGGTCATGGTATGTGAGCCCTACTTTGTGACTACACCACAAAATGCTGGCGTAAGTACAACAGAGTTGGGAGATGCTGCTGCTGCTCAAAGGAGGCACATTGGCATGGCTGGTGGATGTCTCTTCCAAAGCTCCAGCCATTTCTTATCCCTCTCCAGAAAAGCCCCACATTTCTTACCACCTGACACCTGAGAGCAAAATATTGTTTGTACATGGAATGCTGGTTGGGAATGCCAGAAATACGGATTGCTCAGATGCAAGCCTCTAGGCCTTTTTTCCTCCTGTTTAACATAGTAGGGAACTTCATTTCAGACAAGCGAACAAACAAACAAATAAACAAACCAAAACAAAACCCGATTTATATTAGAATGTTTGAAAGGAGAAACACATGGTAAATAAAATTCAAATTACTTATTAATTTGATTTAGTGGGTGTCTTTTTTTCTGAATGAGACTTCCAGTACTGTCTTGGTTTGAAAGACAGGTGTCTGCTAAGAAGGCAGGAGCCTCTTGAAATGGAGAGTGTAAACCACCACCCCCAAATTATTATAATTTTAGGATTAAGGGGCTCTCAGCAAAAGATATGGGGATAGGAATAACAATTTTTTACATACAGATATACATATATATATATAAAACAAGGCAAACAAAAACAACTACGAAATTAACAACAAACAGAACAGGAACCCAGTAACAGTTCTTTCGGTTGTGGACACCCTTCCTCTGTGGTGCAATTAACGTCCCAGCTGACAGGCAGGGCCGGCCAGCTCCCGGTGAGCAAGGGGGAGATGCAGTGATCCCACGTGGCTGGAGGAGCCCTGGGGGTGATGGGGGCTGGGCCCAGACGGAAGGGGATGGGAGGAGAGAGGCTGGTCACGGATCCCGGGGCAGTGTCGGTCCCGATGCTCCAACTGGATGCTTGGAGTTGGCAGGAGATGCGGGAGAGTGTCCGAGCAGGGGAGCGTTGCGGGATCCCACAGCCGAAGAAGAGCAACTACCGGCGTCGGTGTGGCGGGGTGAGGCTTTCCAGCGACCGTCCTTCTCCGAGCGAGAGAGAAAAAGAGACTGCCCAAACCTCTCCTTTACCTGCCCCCCGATATCGCGGTGTTTCCCTCTCTTCCCTCCCCCACCCCACACCCACCCTGCGAGAGAAACTCCAAGAAAGGGACAGGGAGTCTCCTCTCCCCCTGTAGCTAGCCATCTTAACATGTCAGTGGGAAAAAATTCCAGAGAGGAGAGGGGGGAAGAAAAAGGAAAAACAACCCCCAAGAAGTATCCAGATCCTTTTAAGGCTGGAGAGTTGGTCCAAAGTGTGACGGGATTCTCCTGTCCTTCATGACCTAAATCAGTGACCCAAAGCATAATATTTTCTCTAGAACCATCTGTTTTCTCTTCTTGCCAAGGGGATTTCACAATGCCTGATTGCTCTGAACAATTGTACATTGCAGGGATATGACTTGCCACAGGGAGAAAAATTAACTAAACAAGGACAGGTGGATGTTCTTGAGTTTTCTGAAGAAACTACTGCACTTTAGAAGGAGAGGGTGAAGAACCATGCAGCTGAGTAATATTTGATGCCCATAATGAATTTTTTTAAGCCTACTTATTTAAAAAGGAAACAAAACTACACTTAGGAGCTATCTGGGATAAACAGAGTAGGTACCAACTCTGCCTGTGTTTTGACAGCCCCTTTATCAAATGTCTCCATGACTTGGTTTGGAGCAGTGTGTAACATAGTACAGATGTTAGGTGACTAATTCATGCTTCAGTTAAATTTCAATGACTGTGAATGCACATCTGTTTCAGCTTAGCCATCCAATGAAGGGCTTGCAACAAGGTCCTCCTCTTTACAAACGTCATGCTTGCATTTTTTTCACTTCGGACTTGTAAGCAATGGCTACAGCTCACATTTGGTGAAGCAGAACGTACTCAGGCACTATGATCAGGGGGGCAATAAGTCTGGTAGTAAGAGCTTTTTTGTAGCATTAGCAGGATTCCCAATGCAAACAACTTTCTTTTAAATCTGTCTTCCTACAAGAGACCTGCTTTTTCTTGTTCGGTTTATCTGTTCTTATCACCCACTCAGATTTGCTCACTTCCTCCATTATGTATCTTTTTCTTTTCATAATTACAATACCAGGGAGTGGGGAGTTGGAGGCAGACCAACAGTTTCTGGTGAGAAAATGCCATTTATATGAAACTGTCTTGATAAATTCTCAGTATTATTCTTCCAGACCAATAATCCTACCACAGCATCCATAAATAAAAGCAAAGGAGGAGAAGGCTTTGATTCACCCCAGTGTCTCTTTGTGGAGCAAATCCCATATGATGGGTGTGGGATGGTTCCCATTGCTTCCTCCAGCCAGTTGTTCCCTTGCACACAGCCCTGTCCCTGCATGATATGTCCCTGCCCTAATGAGGAGTTAAAACCTTCCATGGCTGAGCTTTGTTCGCTTTTTTTCCTTTCAGGTGTGTGGGGTTTTTCTGAGGAAAATCAGCTCAGCTTTTTGTGTTTCCCAGAGAAGTCGAGGTATTGATGTGCTCATTTTCCTCTCTTCATAGAAACATTAAGTACCAGCTGATTAAATTAACTTGGATTGGAGAAGTGTGGTATAGCAAAGGCTCTCTTTGAGGAGAAAATACAGCTTTAATAACTAGGGATCTGGCTTTTATTGGGTAGTAAATTTGAGAATGTAACACTGAGCATGCTCAGATTTTTTTTTTTTTTTTTTTTTTTTTACTAAGCATCTCTTTGTACTTAAAGGCATCTGTTCTATCGGTTTATGCACTGTTAACTAACTGCAAACCTCTTTAACAGATCCTCTACATTGCTGGAAAATCCTGAGGCAGGACAAGGGCAAGTACAGCTGTCATGCATGATGACTGATGCTGTAAATGGAGTAAGAAAGGCCCTTGAAGGGGAAGTCATCAAAGCTGACCTAGTGGGAAGAGAGTGCAGGGACATGTTTCCTTTAGAAGCATGCCAAGGGAGCCAGGCTTCGACACATATGGGGCTCTTTCCAGTTTTGGGAAGGTGCAAAGTGATGCACTGTGGAAGGAATGGCTCCAAAATCATTAATTACAGGCTACCCTTCTGGTTCATCTTATGACCACGTTACTGTTAAGAGTAAAGTTTTGCCAGGGCTCAAGCTCACTTTGTGCAGATCTCCGATGTGGAATAGTTGTTTGGGAGGACTGTGAGCAAGAAAAGACTGTGAATTACATAGCTTACAGTGATTTTGAAAGTATAAAAATATTTTTTTAACATGATGAGGGGATAGTAGATTTCCCTGTCCTCTTCTGCTCTTAGCCTGAATTCCAGTGAGTGAGTGAGTGCTCTGTAATTTTGAAATGGGAAACACTTCTACCAGCTGCGAAGCAGAATGATGGGCTTTAATTAGATTAGAGGAACAAGAAAATGCAATTGAACAAATAGGTTTTCAACAAAGAGAAAGAAGCATCATAGTAGCTAAAGGGGTAGGTGCTAGCTCACTGATACCATCTGAATCTATCCTGGTTCAGATGACTGAACTAGAGGATTTTTACATGGAAAGCATCACTGATCATAACAAAATGGGCTCATCAGCTGCATCTTCTTGAGTACAGATTAACTCGATCATATCTTTGGAGAGGAAAATCTGTTATGTCTGGTTGGCCTCACTTAATGCATCTTTCCTTTTTGCCTCTTCAGGTTGAGGATATTTGGGAGGTGTCTGGTAGAAGTGGCCATGTTGCAAGTAACTCACATACACACCTTCCCAGTGAGCTTCCCGTTCCTGAGCCTTGTCCTGGTTCTGCTCTGCCATGCAGAGGGCACACATGCGGAGAGCCCCAGTGAACTGCCTGCCAACGACACCGAGGAGTGTGCTGGCTCCTATATCTGCAAAAGGGGTGTGATTTTACCAATATGGGAACCCCAGGACCCCTCGTTTGGGGACAAAATTGCTCGGGCAACAGTGTATTTTGTGGCAATGGTGTACATGTTCCTGGGAGTGTCCATCATAGCTGACCGCTTCATGTCCTCCATTGAAGTCATTACATCCCAAGAGCGAGAAATAACCATCAAGAAGCCCAATGGCGAGACCAGCAAAACCACCGTGAGGATCTGGAACGAGACTGTTTCCAACCTCACGCTGATGGCCTTGGGCTCATCTGCTCCGGAGATCCTTCTGTCTGTTATTGAGGTGTGTGGCCATGGCTTCACAGCAGGGGACTTGGGGCCAAGCACAATCGTGGGGAGTGCTGCCTTCAACATGTTTGTCATAATTGCAATCTGTGTGTATGTGGTGCCAGATGGAGAGATAAGGAAGATCAAGCACTTGCGAGTGTTTTTTGTTACAGCGGCCTGGAGCATCTTTGCCTACACTTGGCTTTACATTATTTTATCTGTGTCTTCTCCTGGGGTTGTGGAGGTTTGGGAAGGCTTGCTCACCTTCTTCTTCTTCCCCATCTGTGTAGTGTTTGCCTGGATAGCTGACAGGAGGCTTTTATTTTACAAGTATGTCTACAAGAAATACCGAGCTGGCAAGCAGAGAGGGATGATCATCGAACATGAGGGTGACCGGCCCTCCTCCAAGGCTGACATCGAGATGGATGGAAAGGTTGCTAATTCTCACGTGGAGAACTTTTTGGATGGGACACTGGTGTTGGAAGTGGACGAGAAAGACCAGGATGACGAGGAAGCCAGAAGGGAGATGGCTCGGATCCTGAAGGAGCTGAAACAAAAGCACCCAGACAAGGAAATCGAGCAGCTCATAGAGTTGGCCAACTACCAGGTCCTGAGCCAGCAGCAGAAGAGCAGGGCCTTCTACCGCATCCAGGCCACTCGGCTCATGACTGGCGCTGGCAACATCCTGAAGAGACACGCTGCAGACCAGGCCCGCAAAGCCGTCAGCATGCACGAGGTCAACAGTGAGGTGACCGAAAACGACCCTGTCAGCAAGCTCTACTTTGAGCAGGGCACCTACCAGTGCTTGGAGAACTGTGGCACTGTGGCCCTGACCATTGTCCGCCGGGGAGGAGACCTGACCAACACGGTGTATGTCGACTTCCGGACAGAGGATGGGACGGCCAACGCTGGCTCTGACTACGAGTTCACTGAAGGGACAGTGGTCTTCAAGCCTGGAGAGACCCAGAAGGAAATCCGTGTTGGCATAATTGACGACGACATATTTGAGGAGGATGAGAACTTCCTGGTCCATCTCAGCAACGTCCGTGTCAGCAACGAGGCCTCAGATGAGGGTGTTCTTGAGGCCAGCCGGGTCTCAACACTTGCCTGCTTGGGATCACCATCTACTGCCACCGTCACCATTTTTGATGATGACCACGCTGGCATCTTCACCTTCGAGGAGCCAGTCACACACATCAGTGAAAGCGTAGGAACCATGGAAGTGAAAGTGTTGCGAACCTCTGGAGCACGAGGAAATGTTATTGTGCCCTACAAAACCATGGAAGGCACAGCCAAAGGTGGAGGAGAGGACTTTGAAGACACCTGTGGGGAGCTGGAGTTCCAGAATGATGAGATAGTGTAAGTCAAGGTTTTATTTGTTCCTTACAGTCTCTATTTCTCCTGAAACGAAATGCACTTAGTTCCCAGAGCTGCACTGGAGGTGTTTGTGTGCAGGTGTTTGTGTGCCAGTGCATTGCAATAAGCCATGAATGGTCTTAGGTGCTTTGGGGAGCTTGAAACACTGCGTCCCTGCCTTGCCAGCAGACTGGAGAGTGGTGCCTGGTCGGGGCACTCCAGCCCTCTAGCAGCAGGTAGGGGGAGCTCATCTGGGAGCTGTGCCCATGCGCTGAGCCGATCTCTACAGCCTCAGCTCAGAGATGAAAGCCGACGTGGCTGTGACCACACAGGTGCGAGAGTGTATCCTGCAAAGTGCTTAAACTGAATGTATGAATTGTGTTACCTGCTTCCTCTTTCAAGTGGAGGCTCAGATCACACGGTTCTGGCTCACAGCCTGTCCTACTGATGCTCTGCTCAGGGCTTTGGTGAAGGTTACTTCACCTCCTCCTGTTCTAAAGGGTGCAGGCTGGGTCACTGTCCAATACATCTTGAAAAAGTGTTGTCATGCAGGGAAGCCTCAAGGTTAGGATGTAACTATGGCCACATTCAGCTGCTTGCAGGTAAAAAAAGGAAGCTGAAAGCTGGTGGAGCCTATTCCTGAGTCTTGCTATTTTGACGGGGAAATTATTAGTGCTTTAAGTAATTAGTAGCCTTATTACATTATTTGGAGAACATAATAATAATTTGCTCAGTAAATCATGGTAGAAAACATCTATCATTGGATATGTCCTGAAGACATATCCTTGCCCAGCTGGTGCCCTGGGAGGAGTAAGGACTGAGAGCTGTGTTATTCCAACCTGAGGCTCTTCTACAGTGAATTCTGTGCTTGCAGCCAACAGGGACTAAGATCTATAGCACAAAAAGACTGCATAGAACTGAAAGAAGTAACTGATAAAGGGCACTGCTGTGTCAAGGGAGAGCTAAATTTTGGCTTGGGTGTTATTTATTGTGCTACTGGTCTCCTATGAGCTGAGACAAACCATGGCGAGTGGCCAGAGTGGTTCTTGTGTTCTGTCAGCTGTGTCTGCTGCATCTGCACAGGGAGAATGAAACTTCTTCATAAAACTTCTTGAAGTAGATGGGGGAGGAAAAAAAGGTGATTTGTAGTTCTCAGGTAGGATTTATACCAGTTGGGATTTTGACTTCCCAGGAAAAACTGAGCAAAAACTTCACAGCTCTATAATCTGGAGGCCACAGCAGGCATGTTGCTCACACAAGGGTCAAGAGCACATGGTTCCTGACTCCTGAATGATAAATGTAGTAGAGAGGAATACAGTTATTTGAATATTTTTTTTATCATTTTGGGAAAAGCAGGGAGTTGTCCGCAGAGATGCAACGAACTAGGCTATAAGGATATCTCCCAAAGGCTCTTTGCTTTTTATCCAGGTCACTCAGCACTAGCAAAACTGGGCTAGTGGCAGCTAGACTTTGACGTTTGTTCCCAGCTCCCATGGAATGTGACATGTTTACATGGCAGGCCAAACACACGGCCACAGGGTCTGCAGCGGTGCTCAGAGTGGCTTGGACTACGCCTTGCCTTGGATTCATCACTGTGACCAGGATCTCTGTGCTATCATTCATCCAAACCCTATGCCTATGCTGCCTCTTGGTGCTTGGGCTGTGATGATGTGTTCTTCCTGGCACTGCTGTGCCTGCTTGCCTCTGGGGGTGGCCTTCCCTCCTCTGAGCTGTTCACTGCTGACTTTTGCCAACAGCCCAGTAACCAAGGGGTGTGCTGGAAGCGAGCTGACCACATCCTGTGGGATCTGTGCTGGTGTGCCCTCTCCAGGGCTCCAAGGCTCCTCCTTCCTCTTCCTACCGTCTGCCAGAATGTGCACAGCAAGCAAGAAACAGGGGAAAGCAGCTTTCTTAGAAACCCGAGCGTCCTTTTTCTGTGCAGATGCCCTTGTATCTCTACTGGCTTTAAACTATCTCTCACAGGAATCACAGTGAGTGATGGTACCTCAGAAATGCCCACAGCCTGGCTTCTGGGTATGAGGTGGTGACTGCAGGGACAGATGTTGGCCAAGGGGCTTTCTCCATTCAAGTGTGAGAGGACATTGACAGAATGAAATCAATGGTACATATTCCAATCTATCCGTGTGCTTGAAAGGCAGCAGGTATTAATCTAAAACTTAGCTAGTACAGTCCGTGTGGAGGTGCTAGGTGGTACAATCTGATGGGCAAATTTCCTGCAGGTCCATGTTTTACCTGGACACAAGTTTAGGACAGCCGTGCAGCACAGAGACAGAGTGTTCCTGATGCTCAGCTGCTGCTTACAGGCATCCTCCCTTGGAAGAATTTGCTCCAATAAAGAGGATATACTAGCAAAATATGTGGGTTATGGAGCTAAGGACTTTTTTCTCTGTCATTGCTTGATAGTGCTGTACTTCAGTTAAGCCATGGTTATGTAGAATGGTGCAATTCCCTAGCACATTGGATTCAATAAAGTTCTAAAATTCCAGGTTTTCCTATGCTCTGATGGCCAAGAGATGTATTTGCTGCCCTTTCTAAAGGTCTTTAGTGCCTCTTAAGTTCTGCCATTCAAGTCTGAATGAATCAGCTTGATAGAAGTGAGTAAGATGTGTTTTTCTGGGTCAGTAATAACAAAGGTAGGGCAGTACAGGGAGACATGAAGATGAAAGAAAAGCATGCACAAGCCTCTATTATTAGAGGCCTGGCTTGCTGGTAAGTCCCAGTAAAATTAGAAAGCGCTGGGAGGGCCCTAATCTTCTGGAGACCTTCCTCTGGTTCCCAAAAGGCCTAATTATGTAACATGTTGTTTGTTTGTCCAGAGAGACTCCCATTTTGCAATCTGTTGATGTCCCCCCTTCCCAGAGTACACAAAATAGCAGTTTAACTGCTGAGGCCATGCTGCTCCTACACATTTAAACAAGCATCTCATTCTGATGCTACAAAAAAGAGATGTGTAATGGAGAAGATGTTGGTCCTCCTGTGGAACGTTTAACTTAGCACTGCTGGTACCTGGGGCTCTGAGACATCAGTGTAGGTGCTGTGATTTAAAGTATAAGAGACCCTTCCCTCTGGGGCCACCCTCAACATGGTGGTTCCATCCTTATCTTGCATCTCCATTAATAATTAAAGCTTCCTGCAGGAGAACATGGAGAAGATATGCAGTTGTAGGCCCTTCCTGCCTCCCCCCATCTACTACAGCTATTGTGATCATAGAAGAGGTCACTGGTTCATCCAGCCAGTGTATTTTTATTTCCTGACTGAATGCTAAATAATTCAAAAGAAGTCCAACTTCTCATATTAGAGGAGGAAGCAATAGTTCCCTCAGCTGATTTCCCATCAGCTCTTCTCCTTTCTGTCTCGAAGCATTAGGAGGAGCACCTCTTCCAGATGTGATTGTAAAACTCTTTGAAAACAGTGTGCGCTTTTATGTTGAAAAAACATAGTTTTCCTAGGGATAACATTGCAACTAGAGATCTGTTACAATCTGCACTCCAGATGTCTGCACACACACCCCAAAAGAAAAGATTTTACTGTATTAATGTCAGTGAGGAAGATGGTACATATGGACAACCAATTAAACTCACGTTTCACCTATGCAGTCACGCCTGTAAATGCTTGGAAAATCTTATATCAAATGATCTTGCTGTTCATAATATACAGTTTAGTTGTTTTTATGAAACATGTCTGCTGCAGGTTTAGGAAATGACACTCTTTGCCCACTGAATTTTACTTGTCCAAGTCAGTTTTGGCATTTCTCTGAAAGCATAAATTTAGGAGCTGAATACTAACAGACACACAAACATCGGCTACATCTCATTATTTTTTTGGGAAAGTGTCCCCAGAAACCACATAGGCTCCCTCCCAAGAACCCTTTAAAAATGTCAATGTCAATAAATATAGATGGTGGCAGGAGGGGAACCAAGTGGTATGGCTTTTTAAAGTGCCCCTTTTCTTTTCTAAAAAGAAGTTGGGTCAGGTATTTCTAAAGAAACAGAAAAAATAATATCCTGACTCAGCCCTGGAACCCCTCTATATGAGTTTTTCATCTGTGACCTGCAGCTTTAGAGAAAAAAACTAAAGCCTCCAGCATGAGCAGCCTTGCAGTAGGATAGAGCTGAAGAGCAGGATGTCTTCTGATGCAGCAGAGAGAATGCTGTAAACCAGGCTGGAAGGGAAGCGAACATTCCCTTTTTCAGGTTTCACAATTGAGTACATTTTCTTCCTCTTATAGTCCCACTTTGTTCTGCTGGGCCAATGTGCATCCCCTGACTCAACAGCCCCAGCTCACACGGGGTTAATGTCTGGCAGCACAGTGTGAGATATCAAAGGAGACCAAACAAAGATTAAACTCTTGTTGGCCGTGCTTCCAGAGCCCAGCATGGGGTTTGAAGAGTATTCTCCTCTCGCAACTGGAAGTCTTGCCTGGCCCAGTCGGATTTGCAGGCAGTACAGATATGGCCAGCTGGATCTAGGGCTTGGATCCTTGGCAGAGGCACCCAGTGTTCCTGGTCCATCCAGCACAGATCCCTCTTACAGGAGGTGGCCCTGGCAGAAACCCACAGCAGGGGTCTGAGCCATGTGTGTTGCACCACACTGGGACATGGATGGGGCCTCTTTCCCTTTTGAGGAGGAGAAGTTCTCTGGGCCTGCAATGTATAATTTCTTTGGTTCCTGAAGGCCAAAAGCTGGTTGTCATCTCTTCAGAGAGGAAGATACAGCTCTAACAGGGTCATCTGTCTTTTTCTCCTCTTCATTCAAACAATGTTTAGACTTTCCTGAATGCTCTTAAAATATTTGCCTTAGTATCTCCCAGGCATGGGCATATCTCTTAAACTGCTGTGCTCTTGCCTCAGATGCGTGGTCTCTGTTAGGAGACAGCGAGGGAATAAAGCCATATGATGTCCACAGACCTTCCCCTTTGTGTTGTGCCCAGGACATGGCAGGTTCTGGAAAACTCATTCCCAAGTGCCACGTCAGGTCTCCAT